CTGTCTGTGAACTTTGTTCTTGACCTGTAAAGCTTCCCCAACATCCCTGCCCTAGAGTTTGGAACAGGGTTGCTCCACTAAAGCCTAACCAGATCCCTCCAAGGGTGAGCATGTACACAGCCACATGTTTTACCTCCCTGTGATACGCATTGATCAGTGGCTCTGGGAGAGGGGGCCTGAGATGTTTCCACTAAAAGAATCACTTCACATCACAAAGGTCTGTGTGGGGAAATGGCTGTTCTCTCCCACCCCTCCAGTACACACACACACACACTTTGGAGGAGTTGAGTTAAACTGGAAACAGGAACCATTCCAATCACCGGTCCCACAAGAATAGTGTAGGAATACCCTGGCTGCCTGTGGTGTAGCCCCTGCTCTCAGGATCCTGGAGTGGGTCAGGTGGCATGAGACCTGCAGCCTGGGGCACTTGCTGAGCAATGCCTTGCTCCCCTGTGCTTCAGGCTCCTGCAGCATGAGAATGAGGAGCTGCGTCGGCGGCTGGCTTATGTCACCAGCAAGATGGAGGCAATGGAGAGGGAGCTGGAGTCTGGCCAGGACTACCTGGAGATGGAGTTGGGCCAGAACCGTGAAGAGCTGGAGAAGTTCAAGGACAAGTTCCGTAGGTATGGAGATTAAGAAAAGGAGAGGATTGGGACCTGGAGAGTGTACCTTAACCAAAGGCTTGCTCAGCTGTTTGGTTGGTGAAGGCCACGCTTGGGGTGTTTTAACCCGAGGCATGCAGCATCCCCAGTGATATGCCACTCGCAAGAAAGGATTAGGAGAGTTGCTCTGTGCCTATGATTGTAAGGCAGCTGCCTCTGGGGTGGAGCAGAGGAACACCATGCCACAGTACAGGGCAGGGAGGAAGTGAAAAGGGAATTTGTCGAGTTAGTTATTAGACACAGTGAAAGGGCCAAGCTGGAATTTGGCCTAGATTCTAGGGTTAACTTGAACTTTCTGACAGTTAAAAAGGGGCCAGAGGATCACGAATGACTGGGGGGTGGGGTGCATGTTTGTGTCTCACCCAAAAAGAACATTCCCTCCTTTAGTTCCCACTGTCTTTGACTGTGCTGGTCAGGGCTGACTTGGAGCAGAGCACCCAGTATTGAGACATCCATCTGGAGTAGTTGCCTTTTGTGGTTTCCTTGGGGGAGGTCTCCCATCCAAGGATTGGCTCAGCTCAGCCCTGCTTAGTTTGAGGTCTGAAGGGATCAGCCATCATGTGGCAAAGCTGGGTATAGTATTAGCATGCCTGGCTGTCTGCTTTGAGGCAAGCAGTCTTTCTGCATGTCCGGCATTTGGGCTGTGGAGAGGACTTGAATTGATGGCCTGGATTCCTTCTCTCCTGGACACTCATGTCTCTGTTTAGGCTACAGAACAGTTACACTGCTTCCCAGAGAACCAATCAGGACCTGGAGGAGAAGCTGCATACCCTGGTATGTCCTCCTAAGCCTCTCTCTCAAGGGGAGGTGGGGGGTGTTTGGGATGTTACAGAGATTGTCTTTGGGGTGAAGAATCAGGGGGCTAGGGATTGCTGCAGCTGAAGAGGGAGGTTTTGACAGTGGTTCCCCAGTCCGAGCCTGGTGTCTTGAGATGGTTACTTCATTTGTGTGGACCCCACTTTGTCATGCCCCTGAGCTTGGCTTCCTCTCAGTGTAACTGCACCTAACTCCACCATGTTGGATCAGCACCTTTTCTAGGTGATAGGGATGTGATGCTCCCTGTGGCCTGAGGACAGGGGAGGGAGCTGCCCCTGGGGGTGGGTGTCAGTGGGGGCTGTCAAAACAGAGCCAGCATGTGTGTGTGTGTGTATGTGTGTTTGTGTCTACTGTGTACATTCATAACGCTCATGGCTGTTTCTTTTCTCTCCCTCCCTCTCTTTCTCCTCCCCATGCTGCCGTGGCGCACGCTGGGTGCGCTCACCTCTCAGGCCTCTCTCAGCCAAAGCTGGATCTTTGCAGTTGCGTCTTTCGTTTGTGTGTTTTTTTTTCTTTCTCCTCTTTACATGTCTCAGCCTGTCAGTTTCATTGTCAGTCACCCACGCACCATCCCAGATCGAGGGGCCCCAGTCTTGTCTGGCCAAGGGTTCACCTGGTATCCAGCAACACAGCTGCCCACAGAGGCAGCAGGTCCTAGCATGCACTGCTCCAGCTGAATGTGAGCACTGTTTGTGATCCGGCTGGAGCATTGCATGCTGGGAGCATTGTGCCCACAGGCTGAAGCACTGTTAGAGGTGAGGGTAGCCATGAGCCCGCTTTGGCCATCCCTGCTGTAGACAAACAGACACCAGTTCGAGCCATCAGTACCTGATTGCCTGCACTTAACATAGGATGCACGTGTAGTTCTAGCCTCAGCACCAGGAGCTTCCAGAAGTTAATGTGCAGGTGCCTGATGAGTTGGCCCATGTTTCAGAAACATCTTATCCTCATGTCCTGCTCTGCTTGTTATGCTGCACCCTGGTCTCACTGCTGCCCACAGTTGGACTATGTTGGTCACATTGACAGGGCTTCTGTAGCCCATTTGGGGCAGGTAGAGGAGCTGGTCCCTCTGACTGCTGTTAGCCTCCTTGGCTATATTTCCCCCTAAGTGGAAGCTTCTGAAGAAGTGTTCCTGCCTTTGGGACAGCATTAAGCAAGCCCCAGAAAAAGCTGTAGACAGACCCTTTTTCACACCAAAACAAATCCTGAGCTCTTCTGAAGAAACAGAGCCTTTTTCCT